CGTAAAGCTGTCAGAGTTCCTTTGATGGAAGCTACTTTATTGCTGCCACTGACGTGCCAATATTAAGAACTGGCATCAAGGATATTCCATGACTGTATATAGGTGAGTCATAGTAATGTCTTGAGTAGGTGTGGGAGTAGAGGTGATAGGGAACAGGGGAGAGAAGGCAACAAGCAATGGAGAAGATAGGGAGAAGAGGAAAAAGAAGAATAAAGGAGCCGGGGAAAAGAGTAAACAGAAAAAAATACAGGAAACGGTGAAAGGGAGTAAAATGGTATGAAACAGGAAACAAAGGTTGAGAAGAGGAAATGGAGAAGGTAGGGAATAGGGGAAAGAAGGTATAGAACAGAAAACAAGATGAAAGAGAACAAGGGAAAGGAATGCAAGGAACTAAGAAAAAGGAAAGATAGAAAAAAAAGCAGGAACACTAAACAACAGAGATGTGATCTTCATAATAAACAAGATAAAGGCCGGAAAATTGGAAGCAGAGGAGGCACATAAGGAAGAACAGTTATGACCAATGTATACGAAGCAGGAATAGACAATCATAGACAAAAATAGACAAAAGATTATACAAAAGAATAATAGGGGGAAAATCAAAAGATAATAATAATTAATGATAATACACAAAAGACTAATATAGAAACAATTAGACAAAGAAGTAATAAAGCAAATAATCAAAGAAAGTTAAATAGTTATAACCTTTCCATCACTCTCTACTCTGAAGAAACGTGAAAATTTTCGGGTATCCCTCTGGTGGAGACACTTTATTGCATATTAATTACTCTCGTGTGTGTTTCTCTGCACCATTTCCCATGTTTTATTACTGTTCTCCCTCGTCGGTCTTACTGCCCCTTCGCTCTTGGTAAATAACGGGCGCAGCAAGCCCACGAATAATTCAACAAACTCATCATTTCATACCCGTGTGCTGTAAAAAAAATGCTTAAATTAGAAAGTATTGCGGGGAAACTAGCGTGTGGGCAGATGGAACGCCTAAATGCTTGTTAATAAGTGTGAATGATGAAGGTGAGGGGTGACTATGAGGTGGTGTGGTGGGTTGTAGTGGTGATAGTGAGGATGATGGTTGCGGGGTGTGTGTGTGTGTGTGTGTGTGTGTGTGTGTGTGTGTGTGTGTGTGTGTGTGTGTGTGTGTGTGTGTGTGTGTTTAGTGTTAGTTACCATTTTGTCCTAGGCATATGTCGATTAGACACTAGGCCTGTTGTATGTGTGTGTGTGTTTGCGTGTGTGCGCGTGTGTGTGTGTGTGTGTGTGTTTGTGTGTGTGTGTGTGTGTGTGTGTGTGTGTGTGTGTGTGTGTGTGTGTGTGTGTGTGTGTGTGTGTGTGTGTGTGTGTGTGTGTGTGTGTATCTGTGTGTGTGTGCGCGCGCGCGCTCACCTATTTGTGCTTGAAGGGGAAGAGTCACAGCTCCTGGCCCCGCCTCTTCGCTAGTTGCTGGAAGGATGGAAATAAATGATATAAAATACCGACACATTGGAAATATACACACATGCAGTGTAATGTGATCCTTTATTAGCAACGTTTCGCCCACACACTGGGCTTTTTCGCCCACTGTGTGGGCGAAACGTTGTCAATAAAGGATCCCATTATACTGCATATGTGTTTATTTTCGCTAGCTGCTACTAGGTCCACTCCCTGCTCCAAGAGCCTTATCGTACCTCATCTTGGAGCTATGTAGGGATCCTGTGTGTGTGTTCTGCAGGTGTGTGTGTGTGTGTGTGTGTGTGTTCTGCAGGTGTTTGGGAGGGGATGGACACGGTGGTTGTGGTCATGGGTGGATCCAGGAACTACCCATGGAAGGGGGTCACTCCCGCCACACCGACGAGAGAAAAGCAGCTCATAGGCCGCGGGAGGCCCAATTTTCTTTTTTTTCTTTTTTTGTGAATTCCTGGACTTTAAATTTCAAGCAATGTTGTCCTGTTCAGTAGTAGTAACAGTTTAATGCGTCATAAAAATGCAAATCAAAAGGATTTCACAGTGGCCCAATGGTCTTTCATAGTGGACCATGGAGGGGGCCCTGGTCCCTCCCTGGATCCTTCTCTGGTGATGATAATGTTGTAGATGTAGAAAGCTGTGATGCTGGTAGGTGAATGGTGGTGGTGGTGGTGGTGGTGGTGGTGGTGGTGGTGGTGGTGGTGGTGGTGGTGGTGGTGGTGATGATGATGGAGTGTCGGTGGGGATGACGGCCTGTGGTGTGTGGGGGGCGATGGGTTGTGGTGAATGTTGGATCATAGATTGTAGTGAGTGTTGGGTCACAGATTGTAGTGAGTGTTGGGTCACAGATTGTAGTGAGTGTTGGGTCATAGATTGTAGTGAGTGTTGGGTCACAGATTGTAGTGAGTGTTGGGTCATAGATTGTAGTGAGTGTTGGGTCACAGATTGTAGTGAGTGTTGGGTCATAGATTGTAGTGAGTGTTGGGTCACAGATTGTAGTGAGTGTTGGGTCACAGATTGTAGTGAGTGTTGGGTCATAGATTGTAGTGAGTGTTGGGTCACAGATTGTAGTGAGTGTTGGGTCACAGATTGTAGTGAGTGTTGGGTCATAGATTGTAGTGAGTGTTGGGTCATAGATTGTAGTGAGTGTTGGGTCATAGATTGTAGTGAGTGTTGGGTCACAGATTGTAGTGAGTGTTGGGTCACAGATTGTGGTGAATGTTAGGT